CCGGCTAGCAGTTCTTTCCACCTCCGCCGTGTAGCCCTATCCTCGTGCCAACAAAAGACAACTCAGTCTGAGCTCTAGCGCTCTTCCCCAGGAAGAAATTTTACGCTAAGTGACATGACCTCAAACTCGACTTCCGATCTTTCTTCGATCAATAGCTCCTGGAATTTAGAGGAAGACAGCGACTAAATTTCCATGTATAGGCAATACATTGTAGATGACAGAGGTGTATGTTTGGATGAGCAAGACTTCGAATAAAAAGAAAAAAAAATTGAATTCAAAAATACCCAAAGTGATTCACTAATTATGGGACAACCTAATAGAAAGTCACGCATTTGACGGGGTCTTTAAACTGAGCCTATCTTACAGAAATGTATATTGCTGCGATGGTGGACGACAGTTTTCTGACTTTTTTCAGAGTACCAGATCCTAGCACTGAACCCGACTTCTTAAACGTTATGCATAGTCGCGTTGCCAATAAGAATCGGCATTCAAGAGGAACTCCATTTATACGAATTTCTCCCAAATGCTAAACCAAACTGCGCTTTTTGAGATAGGTTATGATGACCTCCACGAACGCAGCACACGTGTGGACGGCAACGGATTTTGGATTGTGACTTCGAGTGACGCGAAAAACCATGACTCCACGATTTGTCGCCCAAAGTAATTTTTACCCAACGCGGATCGGTGAGAGCTCCCATACCCATCGGAGTGGAGCGTTGGGAACCTTCCGCTATGACATAGCAAATGCTTCCCAATGGGTCTCTAGTAAAATATGGAAAACTTGAGTCAAAATTTTTTTCGGTCCAAATAGATTAGGTCTTCACTTAGAATAGCACAGGAAGACAAGTGCATACAGTGCGTATCATAAGTATAGACGCACCCCTGAAAGTGCCACGGGGGACTTCCATAGAAGTTCTCAGCAGACATGCTTATCACCTTCTGAATCAGCATGCACGAAAACCTAGAGATCGCAGAGGATCTTACAAGTTCCTAATCACACCGTAGTTGAGGAGACTATCTGCAGTGTTCCCCTTGGGTTGTATCGTCCTCAACAAACCGGTTTGTCAATGTCATAGCATCCATGGCATTCTCGCCAGCGTGTGACTTGGTCGCATTTTTACAGCAGAAAAAGATGACAAAAGTGTTCCAGGGGAAAGAATTCAGCTCCTACAACATTAGCATTGCCCTCGGTTATTTATCTCAATATGACAGCTTGATTTTACTGTTGAAAATGTTGTGCTATGAGGATCCCGACAACGGCTTCTCCTCCACCGTTGATTCAGATTTGGAAGAGTAACTAAGAGTGTTGGTATTTCAGTGGTCATTGTCACCTGATAATACGAACAATAGTTATTTCATATGGTATCCCTATGGCAGTGAGCACTCGCCCTTTGCAGACGACTACTTTCATACGCAAAGCAAACGCTGAATTTAGTAAAATTCTCAGGTGAGGCGGCTCTATGAAAGACACTCCTAAAAAGGAAGTCAGAGTCTAGGTTACGGTATGCCTAGAATCCCTCCAACCCTTTATACACCTCATGACTTTGTTGACAGGGAGCTTTCTGCTTCAAGAGCTCCATCATCATCTATCTACTTGGGTACCCTCTACACACTACTGCTCATCTTTTTTCATGAGATGAACTTTCTCGCAAGTTTTATCTTCAGAGCACCGATACGGGCAGTTGCAATAGGGTACACTTCATGGCATTTACCTCAGAACGTTTATCCCCGATTTGCTTCCATATCTGCGAATCGATTCTCTGAGCTGAGAAGTTCTCGTTGTATTGTTTTGCATGCTATCTTTAGGAAGCGCCCTTCACTGCTCAGCCACTCTTCCTACAGGCAGCTGAAGCCAAACCTTAATGAAGCGTTGATGTCTGAAGGTTTCGATTATGTCCCTGAGAAGACCAGGGAAAAAAGTTGGCAAGGGTCTCATCCCGCGACCTCTTTCTTGTGTGCTTGGATCACGATCATTGCGCAACTTCCCCCTTCCATACTCATCCTTAAAGCGAGGGATTACGATAAGTTTGGACTGGGTTCATAGTGGAAGTGGAGATGCTGAATAATGCCCCAGTGGCGAAAAAAGCAAAGAAATCCGTCAAGAAGGCGCAAAATGGGACCCCTTTCTTTGCCCGTTGACCTCCGATAATGGACGAGCTAGCAACCAATTAGGAGGTCGTTTGCACATGTTATGCTGATAGCCTCTATCATTTCAGCAAGCATATGCTTTGATGACACGATGCCCATGAACAAATCTATAGCGATACACTCTGATGGAACGTAATATCTCGTCACATTGGCAATCGAAGGGCGCTGCTGCTGGGGGCGGAGCACAGACCGTGGCGGGGCTCAGAAAGGAATGGCAAGCCTTGTACGCTGCAACTAGCGCACCTTTGACCACAAAAACGCAACATTTCGTTTCCTTGGGCCCCTGACTACTGCTTCCAATGGTGCATGTACTTCCACGCTGCATACGCACTTTATCGTAATCTCTCGCTTTAAGAGAATCAGATGTGGGAATCATCTCTGACTTCGGCGTCCCAGGACGAATACAGAACACCTCGCAGATGGGTCTGGACAAACGGATGATGACGTGGTGACTTCTTTCACGGAAGACGCACTGGAAGCATGCAATGACACTGCGTAACCCACAAAAATGCGCTACTAAGCCCTCATCGAGGATTACTGGACAAGTAGATCTTATTAGGTTTTTGGGATGAAGGTATTTAGTGTAGAGGTGGCAGTGTGGCTTTGTTTGTTTTCAGTAAAAGTATGACTTATGTAAATCATTCGGCGTTTCTTAAAAGGAAGCGTTTTTCAATTTTTTTTTAAGAAATCGAAATGTTGGGGAGATTACGGAAATTTCACGAATTTCATAAAATATCGGAATTTTTGCTGTTTTTGGTGTAGCACATACAATACTTCCGCTTCACATGACGTTCTTGATAATGATTCACCTTGATTCTGGATGGGACACATCGGTAGGAGTTAGCGAACCTGATAAAGGAGGAATTCACGCACGCAATCCATTCAAATCAGATTAGGGATGGTCAGTGTACACGAAAGAAGGAAAAACCATGAGAAACGGCCCAGAACCCGAGAAATGGGACCCCTTCCTTGCCCGTTGATTTCCGCATTGATGCGACTCTCATCGTGCCCTCTTCAACGCTAACGCTCTCTCTGCTATGTCGGTGGGCGTACCGCGCCAACTGCGCCAAGAGTGAGCCATGCTAGATCGCCGAGGTCAAATCTTTCGCTGCCAATTGCGCGTCGGTCCGCACCCTCAGGAGGTCCGCCTGTCTCCCACTAGGCAATTTCCCCTTCTTTGACCTTCGTTCTTATCGTGGAATCCTCCTTTAAGCGGTCAACCTTGAAAAGGAGGAGGGGTTGTTTTTTTGCCCCCTTTCTCCCTCTACATGTGAATGGCTAAGCATTGTTTCCCTTTTCAGTTCGGGACCGTAAATGGCACCCGAAACGAGCAATATGTTAGGAATGTTGTTATGATACCTCATCCATTCCCAAACATCCACGTGTGCAGACACAGATGTGTCTGCCTCGCAACTGATTATACGATTTGAAACCAGGGACGAAGCTGTCGTTGGGAACTGATTTTTGGGAAGCCACGGAACATCTGTTAACACTCAAAAGCTTCACCTAAATTGCGTGTGACTGCTGCGCACAGAATGGAGCCAAAAACCTTCAAGAACACTGAAACGAAGATACCTCTTCTCTCGCGAGCTCGACCGTGGTAAGGCTCGAGGGCCCACAGTGCAACTTGTAGAAGACTATAGAGCATGTCGTATCAGAATCTGCAGTCACTCTCATGTTGTGAACGAGAAACGGCGAAGCATGAAAGGCGCTCACAGAAAACTTTTAACTCCCTATGTCGCTCTTCTTTACCAACGCTGATCCATCGCACACACGCAAGTTTTGTTTGTCGATCAGAGGGAAGGCGATCTACTAAACTCTCCGCCTCGTAGCTGTGCATTCAAAGCATAATCTTCCACATTCCACATTCTGGTGTAGGAATCTTTCACGGAATTAAAATAGAAGTACAAGGTATACAGCTAGGTATGAATAAAACAGTCTGGATAAGCCTCCCTCTTTATTAGCAGCATATTCGCTTCGTATAACTTCGTATAATTATGATACACGGGTTTCAAGATAGCGATCTTGCGCCGAGCAATCCGGTGGCCTAGAGATCATCAGTGGAGATTAAGGCTCAACAACTTCAAAACAATTTATGAGTGAAGCGCAGTGAGAGGGACGGATTTTACAGATGAGGTGTTTATTGTGAGCCACCATTCTTCTATTGCCCTCCGAAAGCGGCATATCTTGAATTCTTACGGATAACCGTTTCGCATCTACAATACCACTCTGCTTTCTTGCGGCGCGCATTCAACAAACTAACACTTGATTATATGTCTAAACGAGAGAGAAGTAACCGAACCAGAACAACAAATATGGGCATAAATTTATTTTTACAGCATATTTTAATGTGATATCTCTTCAGAATCGGACCCCGCTTCCTGTGGAAAGGTTGCTTGCTTGACCAATATAATCAGGCCTCTTTGGGTTCTGTCTCATTCCTGGAAGCCGTATTAGGCGAAATCCATTGGCCAGTCCAGAAATGAGTTTCCATTCGATGGGTAGGTAGGTCCTTGGAAGCCATTACTTCCGGGAAAACCTCCACTTGAGACCTGGTTTCCTCCCTGATTCACTGGGAAAGCCTCCGTTGAATCCTTGCTGCCCTCCGCTGGGAAAAACGGCCGTTGTTTCCAAAACTTCCCCCACTGCCGCCTTTGAAATCCACCATTTCCACCTTGGAAACCGCCATTGCCGCCAGTGCTTCCCGGGAAACCACCATTGTTCCCTGGAACCAGTTGGTTGCCCCCTTGGAATCCTCCGTTGCTTCCCGAAAATCCTCCACTGCTGCCAGGGAAGGGACGTCCTGTTCCTGAGAATCCACCATTGCTGCCAGTATATCCGTTGTTGTTTCCAGACCATGGTTGACCTACATTGTTATTGGGAAAGCCTCCGTTATTGCCTTGCACCCCTCCATTGTTGTTCCACGGATAACCTGTGTTGCCGTTTGAAGATCCACCGTTATTTCCAGAAAACCGTTATTACTCCCTGGGTATCCATTGTTGTTCCACGGGTAACCTGTGTTGCCATTTGGAAATCCGCCATTGTTGCCAGGAAAGCCGCCATTGTTTCCTTGGTGTCCATTGTTGTTCCAAGGATAGCCTGTATTGCCATTTGGGAATCCACCGTTGTTGCCGGGAAAACCACCATTACTTCCTGGGTATTTTCCATTGCCGTTGGTGATACCTGAATATTTCTAGTTAAACTCTGCCAATGTTCCTACAGTTGCGGATTACCTGGTATGTCGTCCAGTGAAGGCAGATAAGTCTTCATTATGAATTCCACAATTTCTTTCTGTTTATCGTCGAGCGGTTTAGCTAAATCGGCAGTCTTGTTGAACGCTGTTGCTACCGTTTGCCTCTGCAATTGCTGTTAATAGATCGAACCCGTCTTTCAGAATATGTTCAAATTCAAGATTTCTCGGGACAAAAGACCTGGAGGCAAAACCATTCTTTCTGGCTGTTCTTGTCGTGATAGATTGAAGGCGAGAACTGGGATCGTGCTCTTCAGTAGGAAGCAACCCGGGAACTCAAGGGGTAGGTTTGCATGTGGAGGTTGTGTCACATTCGCCGCTCAAAATGCACGATCAGGGTGCTATCAGATGGGGACTTGCAATCAGGTTCAACTTCCCTTCGCACTATTCGAAAGAAGGGGAGGGGGCAGGGTCAACCCTATCGTTGTTACTCTTTGGAAATTTTTTACGACCCCCCCCTTCATGGGTGATTTGATACGACCCCCCTTGTATGTGACACTTGTGTAGAGACAGTGTTTACCATCAATATTTATTTCTACGTAAGTCATCAAAGATGAAACTTTAGCAAAATCCACGACATATTCATCGCTGCTTCCAAACACGAAAAAATGAGATGCATTCAAAGATATCCGTGTACTCCAAAGGGTTACCAAACTAGGAGATGAAATAAACTGAACCAGTGACCGGAATATTGACAATATTACCTGATAAAAACTTATGAGAAGTCAGAAAAAATTATCGCTCCAATTGAAATACTGAAATCCTTCACGTTCTTCAATTGCAACACAATTTTTACACCCCTCTTTCTAAGGCTATAACTTCCTTCATATTCGAGCTTCTGCGCCGAAGTGATTTGATTTGGAAAATTCAAATTATTCTCTCTCCAACCATGGGTAAAAATTCTTCGAAGTTAATTTATAAAAATTTAGTACGTTGTTACTTTTTTCTGTGCAAAGGCGACTTTTTGACCTTTCAAACGATCATAACTTCCTTCAAAGTCATTCATTTGGGAAGCTGAACACGGTATGACAAACTACAGGATCCAAGCTTTCTAACGAGCACCCAAAGCGTTCCTGAAAATGGTCAGCAGTTCAAAAATTAGTCCCGTTGTTACTTTTCTTTTGGGTTCAGGGTTTGCGTACTATTTTTTCTGGAACCGCGACTTTTCACCTTCAAACGATCATAACTCCCTTCAAAGTCATTCATTTAAGAAGCTGAACACAGTATGACAAACTAAAGGATTCGAGCTTTCTTAGAAGCACCAAAATATTCCTGAAAAACTAGTAGTTAAAAAATTAGTGCCCGGTGTACATTTTTTTAACAAGGGTATCATTCAGCCTTTTCCCGAAACGCGGTTTTTTTAGTGTTTTACTGCCGTAGTTTTTGGAGCAATGACAGTTTACGCTTACTACACTGTGCTAGAAAGCTTCGAGCATGCGCTTGCGACTACATCCCTTGCCCTTGGTGCGCGCCACGCCTCGGGCGCCCTTCTAATTCGCTGATTCATTTGAAAGCTCATTTAGAGGGAAGCGTGGTTTATAGATGCTCTAGTATCAGTCATCTTACGAAAACGTAACGTGCTGGCTATTATCCGATATTACCAAGAATCCCACTGTCGGCCACCGAGAGGGTACGACCCCCCTCCAAGCTCAACTGAGTACGACCCCCCGTTGTTACTCGTAACAACGTAGGGTTGACGTAAGAGATGGTGGTTCTTGGCTCGGATATGGGAGATGGACGTCCACTCTCGGTGGTTTGAGAAGGCTTAATGAATCTTTGGGGAAGTGCGAACGGCGGTCGAGGGGGACTATTGAGACGAGTTTTTTGATGAGCTTGTCGATCCTACGAAAGTTGTGTTGAAGTAGACAAAATAGAAAAAAAATTGAAGTTATAAGTGGGCGGGGTTAGGTGTGTCTACTGGTCCGAAAGCAAACACTATAGCAAAAGACGCCATGATGGCGAGGTTACGGGTTGGTCGCGAGGAGGAGAGTGTGTATGGGGGAGCTCTTAAAATCCATAAGTCTCATGAGAGAGAGGAGGGTTCGCTCGAGACCCCTAAAGGGTTAGGGCGGTCTCCAAAATTTTTGGAAGGCGTGCAACTGTGACGCGGTTGATGCTATTTTGCAAAATCGTTTTCGGAGCAAGTCCGCCCGGCTCTAATTCTTGAAGAATCAAGCAAGTCGAACGGCTACGCGAACTTGAAGTGCGACGCATTGGATAAAGAAACGGTTCAAAGATAAGGTGTAGGATTCGAAAAAATGTGAAATTGATGCGGGCCTTGTTTCAAAATTTCTTTTGAGAACTCACTCCATATCTTGAGGGTGAAGTACTGCCGAAGAGAGGGGTCTTGTCGAGGAGGTTATCGACTTTTTTTTGCTTTTTTTTTTTTTTTTTCAAGATCTCACTGCCAATGTTCTTATTGAACGCATATCCACACCAGTTCATCCAGAGTCAATCGTTGCGTTTACGCACTATTCGATAGGGAGGGTCGTATGCGGACCTGTCGGTATCATGGTGGTGGTTTTGGGAGGTCTCGTCGAGCCTCTAGAGCAGGGGCGGTCGCGAATTTCTGAAAATGTTGCGGGACGTCTCGGGTGACCTGGTTTAGGTGGGCCATTTTCTCGCTGACGAGATAGAGATTGAGGTTTGCATCATGAGTACTCGGTACTTCCGGATTGTGGATCGTGGTCTTCAGTAGGAAGCACCGGGACTCAGAGGTAGTTGCATGTTGGCTGCAGGGTTTGGAACTTTCTGGAGATGCGTTTATGGTCATATCGCCTGCCCAACCGTCAAAATGCACGTCAGGCGGGGCGGTCACAGCGTGTATAGATGGACCCAGATATGCAAGCAGCGATTTAGACCTCTTTGACCGTTTGTTATCTTGTTTCCGAGACGCAGGGAAGGATGATGAGGGAGGAGGCTGGTATCAAGCATAACATGTGGTGCCAGATGCGAGCTCGAATTGGTAGATAATGGGGGGAGGAAGAGTCCATTCGGCGGTTGCTAGGCTCGTCCAATTTGGAGGGCGACGTCAACGGGGCAAGAAAGCGTCCATTTTTTGGACGCGCCTCTGGACGGCATTTCTGGATGCGTGGGCTTTCGCCACTGGCGGGCTAATTTTTATATGTAAATTGTAATCGTCGAGATACGCTACTATGAACCCGCCCGAAGTCACAAACGGTATGATGCGTAATTCCCTCGAACTATTGACCGAAGGACTGGAGGGAGCCTCGGGAAGAGGAAAATGCGCAATGAGGGGTCGTGATCCGCAAGCACACAAGAAAAGAGGTCGACGGGGGTGATACTAAGAGTGCTTTGTACGGAACGGTATTTTCCCTTGTTGTCTTTTTGCTCACGCGACATAATCGGAACCTTCGACATCACTCAGAACGTTTATTAAGGTGTGGCTTCAGCTGGCCTGTAAGGAAGAGTGGGCTTGTCCTACGACTCTGGTGTGTGTGCGGGAATGGTCAGACAAGAGCGCAAAACAATGCGAGCGCGCTCTCTCGCGGCCCTAAGAGCGAGGGAGCGCATGGGAAAAGCGTTAGATACGGAGATAGTGCTTCTCCTAACTTACGTGTAGTAATCTCGGAATTCGCAGTAGACAAATATGGATAAGCAAAAATCTTCGACTATTAAAAACCAGACGCAGGATGTCGGCGTTCTGAGAGGGTAAAAGGCCGCTGACGGAGGTTTGGTACCCGGGGATTGCAGCCTGGACCCGTTGGGTCGGTTTGGGTAATGGGAAGCTTCTAGTTCATGGTGTGGTGGGAGGGTCGATACCGGTCGCCCGCAGTACTATTGGAAGATAGAGAGAGACTTGGCGAGAAATTCATCTCGATGAAAAAAAGCGTCAATGAGCAGTTCAGTAGATTGTCAGAGGGGGCTCGTACCAGAACCGATGATTTTTTGAAAGATAGATGATGATGGCAGATCGTCTTGCAGGCAAGAAAGGCGTGCAACGGTTGACCAGGCTTGCAAGTTGCAACCATACGGTTTCCGAGCAGGTTCCTGTCAACAACGAGAAGTCAATTAGGCGCTGATATAATTGCTGTGCATTGGAAGGTTAGGTGTAAATTCTACGCACACCATACGTAACCTAGGTCTGCACGTCTTCTTCTTAAAGAGGTGCGACACAATGTAGATAAAGATGCACTCCCAAGATAAGTTTGTGTCTTCATAAGATGCAAGCGATGAAAAATGAACTCTGCACACCTTGCAGCTATTTGACGAGAATTTTACTAAGATTCAGCATTTGCTATTGCCGTATGAAGAGCGAGTTCTGCAGGAGGGAGCGCGGGAGTGCTCTACGTGCCATTAGGTCGTTTTTGGGCCCGTTAATGCTTGGATTACCATTATGGAATTATCTATGGTGGTTCATCGCAGTAAGTATCACTCGGCGGTGACTATATGTACCACTGGACGAATTGAATACGTCTCCCACACCAAGCCATTACGTTAACTCTCTGCAGATTGAACGATCACACGGCTTGTGAACAAAAACTTTTCGCCTGAGCGAAGACGCCGGGAGCGAGGACCGGTTTCAGCCGCTGAGTCACTTCTGTGCATCAACGAATTGATCCAACACATAAAATCACAAGAGACCACGGAAAGGTGGCTATGCGTTCTATTTTGAGCATAAATAAGTCCCGAGCGGCAATGCTAATCGTTGTAGGATCCGGAATGCTTTCGCCCTGGAACACTTGTGTCATCTTTTTACTGCATAGGAAAAATGCACGACCAAATGTCCACACGCGGGCAGAGAATGCCCGTCTAGTGGGAGATGCTATTACATTGACAAACGTGCCGAGGAAGTATTTGTTTGTTCACAACCAGGAGCCGACGCTATACAACAGGGTGATAGATGACTCTGAAGTCAGGGCTCTTATCGAGTTATACAGTAATTCTGTTTGATGCGAGACAAGGCTTAGGTGATAGTGCTGCTAAGAAAGAGAAGTCTTGTTTGGGGCATTATCGGTCTTTTCTTTTGCTTTCTTTTTCTTTTTTAGATTGACCACTG